AGATAGATAGATAGATAGATAGATAGATAGATAGATAGATAGATAGATAGATAGTCCTCTATCTGTAGGACTAATTACAGCTGGCAAAACTTGACAGCCACTGTCTCCTGGAAGTGTGATGTCCTCTTCTGACTTCCAATGGCACCAGGGACACACAAGGCACACGTGTGGAGCTGGGCAGTTGTGGCACACACCTGTCATCCCAGCGGTCTGGGAGGCACAGGGAAGCAGATTGCTCTGAGTTTGAGGCTAGCCTGGTCTACAAAGCGAATCCAGGATAGCCAAGGCGACACAGAAACCCTGTCTCGAAAAAAACAACACACACACACAAAACAATGTACTCATACATACATGCAGACAACACTCATATACATGAAACAAAATGAATCTAGAACAATCATTAAAAAAAATAATGGACTGGGCCTGGTGTCACGTGCCTTCAATTAGAGCAGAGGCTAAAGGTCTTCTGAGTTTGAAGCCAACCTGGTCTACATTGCAAGTTCCATATTAAATAGAGTTACACAGCAGTGAGACCTTGTTTAAAAACAAAACAAAACAACACTTCACAAATTCACATGTCCACCTTGCTCAGAGTCTTGCTAATCTTTGCTATATTATTCCAATTCTGGTATATGTGCTGGCCAAGTGAGCACTTTCTTTTTTGAAAGTCTCATCTAGCTCAGTAGGCCAGGCTGCCTGGCCAGTGAGCTTCAGGGATCCACCATGAAGGAGTGGTGACCTGCACTGGGGTTAGGAGTGACCACCAGGCCTGGGTCTGTGTGTGGGTTCTGGGACAGGTTCCAAACCCAGGCCCTTGGGCTTGCTTGGCAGGAGCTTTGTCAGTTAAGCTAGTAGCCCACCTTCTTTTCTCTCTCTGAGTTCAGACTGGCCGTGACTTCACGGCAATCTTCCTGCCTCAGCCTCTCAAGTGTTAAGATTATACTTGTGAGCCAGGTGTGGTGGCACACGCTTTTAGTCCCAGTGCTGGAGAAGCAGAGGCGAATGGGTCTCTGAGTTCAAGGCCAGCCTGGGCTATAGAATGATTTCCAGCCAGAGCTACACAGAGAAACCATGTCTCCAACAAACAAACAAAAATGATTATACTTGGGAACCACCAAACTCAACTACCTTATAGCTTTAAAAACAAACAAACAAACAAACAAATTTAAACTGTGTGTGAGTGGGTGAGCATGTGCTGCAGAGCATGTATGAAGGTCAGAGAACAGCTTTGTGGAACCAGTTCTCTCTTACCTTTAATGTGGAATGCTACACAAGCCCCCAAATTTGTATAGCAAGCTTTTCCACCCTCTGAACCATTTTTCCTTACCCTGTGTTTCTCCAGACTTTCTGAAAATCAGCAAGTAAGAATCAGCTCCTTTTGTTTTAAGCACAGTCTCTCTGTGTAGTACTGACAGTCCTGGAACTCACTCTGTGGACCAGGCTGACCCAGACTCACAGAGATTCACCTGCATCTGCCTCCTGGGGGCCACTATGCCAGGCAGATACTTATTTTTCAATCTGTTGCAGTGTTTATCCTGACTAGTGCTCAAGCTGTTTTGTTTGTTTTTTTCCCCCCAGTGTGTTTTTTTTTCCTCTAGTGAAAGTGTTCCAGTTATCTCTTGATAATAACAAGCCACCTGTGAGATGGCAGCTTAAAACAGTATTATGTTCTGTGGTTCTGTGGGCAGACTGAACTGTGCAGCTCTGCATACTAGGGACCTAGCCAAGGGCTTACAGCATGCTAGATAAACTGGGCAACCACTCAGCCACTGGACATCATCCATCCTGGTGTGTAGCAGTTCCCACCAGGGCAACCTCACTAAGACTCAGGAAGTTCCTGAAACAGAAGATTCAACAGGCGCCTCCCTGAGGTTATGTAAACAGAAACAACTGCTAGAGAGAAGGGACCCTGAGACCAGCTAAACTTCGAAGCTCAGGGATGTAGCCCATGCTCCTGTGAGAAACACCAATAAATCGGCTCACCAGGGTAGACTTCGGTGGAATCGTTAGTCTGCCTCTTACCGGGTGAGTAGATATCTGTTCCTGTTTCTCCAGGAGAGCCACACAGCACATCCTTAGCCCCGTGGCAACTGTCTCTCACAAGCAAGAAGGGTGTGTCACTGCTCACCTCAGCCTGACTGGACTGCCATCCAGGAGCTCAGCTAAGCTCCTGACTGGAACTCACCTGTCCTCTCTATCTGCTTTGTGTTTCTCACAGCACGCTGGCTCCATTCCTGGAGGAAGCATTCCCAAGAATAGGCATTCCAAGAGGCAGGGAGTGGAAGCTGCAGGCCAGTTTAAGGGCTGTGTTGGAGCTGGCCAAGTGCCAGTTCCACATCTTCTCTTGAGTCCGGTAATCATAAGGACACTCAAAATGGAGGAGGAGGAAAAGAGCCCTTTTCTTCTGTCCTCCCTCCTTCCCACTGATCCACCTTCCTTTCTCTTTCTGGCCTGCCTTCCTTCTTTCCTTTCTTTTTTTGAGATGAGTCTTGCTGGCTTCAAACTAATGATCTTTCTAAACATATTTTATTATTTTTAACTTATTTGTGTGTGTATGGGTGGGTGGGGGTGGGTGCATGTGAGTCAAATGACTGTGGAGGCCAGACAAGGGCATCTGATCCCTTGGAGTTAGAGTATGGGTAGTTGTGAGCCTTCAGGTCTTTGTGAAAAGGAGCAAGTGTTCTTAACCTCTAAGCTAGCTCTTCAGCTTCCAAACTCATGATCTTCCTGCCTCCCAAATGCTAGGACTGTGAGCATCCGTCCAAATGTGACCCGCCTTTGGTGGGGGAATGACAAAGTCACACTGCAGAAAACTGTCGGATGGGAGAGCGTGCTCACCTCTGCAATATGGTGGGCCACACGAGGCCGCGTCCGTTGGCCCCCGAGTCGCTCTGACACGCCTTGATTGCTGCTTGATATAGCTCTTTTTGCTTTTTATTGTGTGCTCTTAGTATTGGGTACCGAACTCTAGCCCTCATGTATGCTAGGCAAGAATTCTACCACTGAGCTGCGTCCCTAACCCTGTAAAAGAATTTTTGCAGGGCAGTGGTGTACGCACCATTAATCCTAGCATTAGGGAAGCAGAGGCAGGTAGATCTCTGTGAGTTGGAGGCCAGCTTGGTTTATATAGTTAGTTCCAGGCCCAGCCAGGGCTCCATAATGAGATACTGTCTCACTATAACATATATGTAAACATCTATGTCTATATACATACATACACATACACACACATATATACACACACGTGTGTGTGTGCTAAGTTACCTAAGCAGGCTTCAAACTCATCTCACAGCCCAGGGAATCTGCAATGCTCCTGCCTCAGTGCCCTGGTATCACAGGTGTGCACCACCGTGGTCACCCTACTAGTTTTTATAAGATAAACTAGGTTCACATTATTTTCTGCCCTCACACAT